TATAGAATTTATAATCCCTATTCCATGATGAGATACATTATAGCTCAAAGAGATCTTAATTAATACTCTTTTTAGATAGGTTTTTTTTGAGGGGGGGAAAAACCTTTTATAAAAAAAAAAATCCGATTGATTTTTATCCACACTGTCTATGGGGAATATCAGTCTCCTTGCTGTTGTCACTACCGACTGTAATGGAATGACAAGAAACAAAATAATTGTAATCTCTCTTCCTGCTTCTTCTCTTCCCACCTAAATTCTTAGTTAAGCCTACTAAATAGACTCTGAAACAGGTGACTACTCTGAAGCTGCATGGTGGAAATATATGACAGTGAGGAGAATTAGGGGAGGTGGGGATGTGAAAAGATGATGTGGAGAGTAGAACTGCAAGGGGCTGGAGGGAAGGGAGGAAGAAGGCAAACTCAGATGGACTGTCTGAAAAACGGAAAATTAATGTAATTAACAAGTGTTGTAATTCAGCCATGTAACAAAAGTAAGTCCATTCTTTTGTTTTATTAATAATAGCTAGTTTCATGAATGAAGGGGAAAACATTCAAATAGTCCTAAGCATAATGCTTTCCAAGTGATATTCAAAACCCATTAGTATTGTGTATTGAATGCCCCAAATCAGAGTAAGGAGAGCATTTAGTACAATGGATACATTGGTATTCTAGCGTTCTATTTTTTTTCCCCTCTTCTTTTCAGGTCTCAAGTTGAAAACCACTATGGGTGTGCACTTTGGGACCAGTAAAAAGATTTCCTTTCAATCCTCACTTTCATCTTCCTATAGGAGAGACCAATATAATATTACAAAATAAAAAGTACTTAAGAAATCTATCTGAAACAATAGCCTTAATTGTCTCCCATTACTTACATCCACAGCACTGTTTGAAAATACAAGACTCCGCAGCCCAGCATCTCCCATAATTCTGCTATGTATGAGCTAGTCGCCTCCTGTGTGCTGTTCTGGAGGCAGTTCAAGCTGCAGCACTCCACCAACCCCCTTTCTCTGGCTGCCACCAGATTTTCTGCTTCCCTGGCAGCAGTCAGTTGCGGTTCTCTTTTCTTCTGACCTTTCCTTTGCCTTTTTATTTTCTTTGTTTTCAGGTAGCGGTGAACAGCCTTCTTTGTTTTTCTTCTCCTTCTCTTGGACCAGGTATTCAGCAGTGCAGCGGTGAAACTGCACGGAGTCTCCTCTTCAGTGCCTCCCTGCTGAGATCTTCTGCCCCCTTTCAGGGATGGCAGAGCAGCCACCCAACTACAGAGCTAAGCCCAGATGTTGCTTCATCTGGGAGGCAACTTTAACGGGCTCCATGGAGGGTGAATTACACCCTGCTTAATCTAGCAGTGCAAGGGTCAGCCAGCTTAGGGCACGGAGCATTTAGCCAGACACACATGTTGGGACCCGATCTCCCCAGGAAGCGGTGACTCTACCACAGAAAATCCTTATGAGGAAACCTAAAACAGAACTGGGAGAGGCTCTAAGGACCAGGAGGACTTCATTCTGCCAGCCCAGGGCAATTCAAAATCAGGATAAGTCTGTAGCAGGGCTACTGTTCCCACCTCACCCCCACACCTCAGTCCTGAAATGGGTCCTCAATACTTTGGGGAAAGAATCTGGGCTCACAATCAGCCCCCCTCCCTCCTTGAGTTGGAAACTTGAGTCAGGAAACTCTGGCAATGTGTCCCCATCCCCCAGCTTGGGGGAGTAGGAGCCTATGGGGGAGGACTCCAAGGGAGAAGTTTCCAGCATGGTCAAGGGCCTATGCAAGGCTAGCCGCAAAAGACTCTGCCCAGGGCATAGCTGCATGGTCATGCCTGAAAAGCATGTGCCCCCCTGCTCTTCTCCCCTCCCATCTCCCGAAAAAGTAAAGAACAAAAAGGATAAGAAAAAGCCCCAAAAGTATTTTGTCCTCCTTCTCTACCAAGGAAGGAGAGCTATCAGACTTAGTTTCTGAGCAGGACACAGATAAAATCCAACAAAGGTTTTGTTTTGTGTCCCCCCCCACCCCCTGAGAAGTTTGAAGCCACGTGGAAAAAGTTGTCTCCCCTATACAGATCCAACCTAAGCAGGCCCATGAGGACAAGCTTCAGAGTAAATACTGCCTGCTAAATCTTCTTTATGCTCCTGTACATGCCATTTGAGGAGGTAATGAGGGAGGAGTGGGAAGCCCCTGAAAAGGGTAATCACTAAAGTACATGCTTAAATTGTACAAGATCCAGGAGTCAAAAAATGCTGTCACTGACATGCCTAAAGTCAATGCTGCAGTAGCATCTCTAGCAAGGATATGGTTATTCCATCCAAAGAAGACTTCTTTCCCAAGCATTTGATGGATAGGAAGGTGGACGCCACCCTCAGAAGGGACTTCAGTGCTTCCCCAGACACTCTCGGAGCATCTCTGGCAGCCACTTGCTTTGCTCGAGCCGTAGTGTCATGGCTGGAATAATGTAAAGCTCTTAAGGGCAAAAACCAAACCAACTTTGTCTATACGTATGAAAATCTCCATAGCAACAGCATTTGTGGCAGTGTGTCAATTGATGCTATGCAGTTTTGTGCCGGGGCCATGGCATCGAGCTCTGCGGCCACGAGGCATGGCTTCTTCCCTGTAAAGTAATTACTCTCTTCAAACAAGCCCTTTGCTTCTCTAAATTCACAGGATCTCTCCTCATTGGAGAAAAGTTGGATAAGATAGTGGTTGAAAATGCAGCTAAAACCAATCAATCCTCCCTTCTCCACTTAGTGCTCTAAGAAGGGACTACAAACCCACATGCAGACAGAGACACTTCTTTCATTCATTTTCTTTATGGAGGTTCCAGAGAAAAGACAACAGATATATAAGGGGAAAACCTTGGAACTGAGGCGTGAGGGGAAAACCCCCATCTTCGGTATCACAATGAGCAAACATACCTTGACCCAGACCTGAGTTTTGGAGACAGGGTGTACTATTTTCAAGACAAATGGTTTAGTTCAACCACAAACAAGTGGATTTGAGAGAGAGCATGCCAGAGTTACTACTCTCTTGAGATGAGGACTCCACCACACCCCCTCCTCCAGTTTCCAGTCACCTTGGATCCTGCCAAGCGCAAGTTGTTTCAGAATGAGATCTTCCACCTCTGGACATGTGAGTGATAGGATTTCCCCAAAAGAATGCTTTTCAGGGTTTTACTCTATTTTCTTCACTATTCAGAAGGGCACAGGAAGAATCAGAGCCATCCTTAACTTCAAAAGGCTCAACAAATGGATGAAGAAAACAAAGTTTCAGATGGAGATCCTCGCTTTGATAATGACGTCTGTCTCAAGGGGACTTCCAAACCTCAGTGGATTTGGTAGACGCCTTCATCTAGCAGCCTGGCTATTGAAAGGGAAGTGTTAGCTGTGCTCGGCCTATCTTCAGAAGAGATAGAGGACTTAGCTCTCCTCTAGGAGAGCGTGCACTCTAAAAGCCTACTCATCCATTTGGACTAAATTCAGCCTTTGGTGTCAATCGAGCATAGAGCAAACCCAAAAGATCCTGGGATTGCAGTTATTCTAGACTTCCTTCAAGGGGTGGATAAGGGACTTCAGGTATCAGCCCTATGTAGCGTACTGTTCACAGAATCTTTACGCTCCCTGACCAAGAACCTTCAGGTTTCCAGGCTTCCCAGAGCAGTCAGACTGGTGGTCGGACTGACCTTGGCTAAATGGGATCCATCACTGGTGTTGAAAGCCCTAACCACTCCTCCTTTTGAACCCCTGACTTCTGCGTCATCATACTACCTCTCCATCAAAACCTGTTTTCTGGTGGCTATCACATCTGCCCTGTGACTTTCAGAACTGGCAGCCTTAGCTATGCAGAAACCTTACTGCATGTTCACGATGACAAGGTGGTGCTAAGAATGCCAGAAATTTTCTTGCCAAAGATGAACTTTCCTTTCCATGCCTCATGGGAGATTTCCCTCCCTTCATTCTGTCCAAAGCCACAGCACCCAGCTGTGAAGCTGTGGCACACTTTGGATGTTAGAAGAACACAAAAGATTTACATCAAGCATACGGAGTCCGTGAGGAGGTCAGGCACCCTATTTGTCTCCTTCCAACCAAACTCTAGGACTCAGAATCTTGACGCTCTCCCTTGCTAGATGGATCAGATTATGTATTGTTGAGGCATACAATGCAGCCAATGTTCCTGTACCAGAAGGAATCAAGGAGCTCTGCACAATATCTATGGTGACTCATGGGCCAAAAGAGCATATGCTTGCACCACAGAGATCTGCAAAACAGCAATATGGTCATCAACTAAAACCTTTATCAGATGCTATAGAGTGGACTTTCTGTCTTCTGCGGAGGGCTCCTTTGGCAGGAAGGTCTTAAAGGTGGTGGTCCAGTAATAACCATGTTGTTTGAGCAATCTTGTAAAAGAGAGAGGTCTTTTTGTTTCCTTTGTGTTTGTTCTGTTATCCCTCTCTGGTCCTGTTCGCTGCTTCGCATGTGTAGCAGAATTGTGGGAGACAGTGGGCTGCAGAACAGAAAATTTCTTACCCAGTAATTTCCTTTCTGCTAGCACCATCTCCCACAATTCTGCCCAACCTGGATGGCTTGTCCGTCAAGGGTCAACACATGCTTTGGATAAGTTATCATATAATCAAGGTCTTCTGTACATAGTTACTTGGCTGGCATTGGAATTATTGTTATTAAATGTGTTTTCTACAAGTTTTTACACAGCTTTGGCACGAATCATCTGGTGGCAAGTCCAGAGAAAAGGGGGAAGTGGCAGCTTGAATTGCATACAGGAAGGGAATAGCCCATCCAGTCATTAAAAGGTATTTTAAAAAATACAAAATTACTAATCTAATTTTTGCATAAAGCATCCTGCCTTTGTCTTCCACCCGTCCTCTTGAGCCTTTCTTACCCATAAAATGAAAATCAGTGAGTGTGCTCTAGTGTTCATGGAAAAATTCTTCCCTCTTATAAAATAAGTGTAAAACAGAAGCATATCTTTCATAATACAGTGTTTCTCCTGTCTTAGGTACAAACAGATATTTCAGGAAGGTAGCCTCCAGAATGGGTTTGAAGATTACTTTTGTTGACTGTAGCAAATTGGAATGCCTGGAGGCTGCAATCACACCAGATACAAAGGTAATGGAAGAATACTCCTGAATTCCATTTGCAGTGTGTCTTGAATTATTTTGTTTTGTTCCTTTACAAATGCTGTTTTTACTATAGGAGTGTAGCAGTTGTTAGGACTGGCTTTTATTTATGGCAGAAAGCATAAACACAGAGATCTTAAAAGTTCTGAAGTCTCTTCTTGGGAATGCTCTGCATTTGGGTGGCAAATTCAAAACACTTCAGGGGCCATGTAGAGAGGGACATTTTTTTTTTTTTATTGGGCTAGTAATAATGGTTTGTTCAAAGGTGAATGTTGTAAAGGGGCTTCTGGGTTGAGGAGGGAAGGTTTTGCTGTTGACTCTGTTAATGGTTAAAGGCTGCTTTTTCATGGGGTTCTTTTTTAGTAATTACACTTCTTCACAGCTGGATGGGAACATGGCATTTGGCAAACTAATATTAAATACAGTTAATGATTTTTAAGAGCTTTTCTTAAAAAATGAAGAAAAATTCACTATTCTATTGGTAAAGCTGTTGCTAAAGGAATTCTAAGAAAGGAGGGTGCATGTGTGAGTGAGATCCATAGCATCAGGCCCAGATGTAAGTATGTGAGGCTCAGTCTGGTGCTCTCTTCAGAATATATGCAAAAGAAGAAAAGGAAAAAGTGTCCTTTTAAAAAGAAAGTTATAGGTGATGGTACCTGTAAATTACACAATGTATCTAAAACTAATGATTTCTGTTTGTTGAAAAATTACAGCTTGTTTGGCTCGAAACTCCCACAAATCCCACCCTGAAGGTCATTGATATTCAAGGCTGTGCAGATGTCATCCATAAACATAAAGACATTATTTTAGTAGTAGACAACACCTTTATGTCAGCATATTTCCAGGTAAGCTGACTGGGTGTCTGAAATAATGGGGGAAAAGGTTGGTACACAGGGATTTATTTATCTTTTTTTAATGATTTCTAATGGCAGAAGGGACGACCAATGAAGAACTGTGTGCTCTTGGCCTCTGGTTTGTTTTAAAGCTTTCACACTGAAAGTGTGATGCACAATTGGCTCTTTAACTAATACAGATCTGATCCAAAGCACTTTACGCCATTTAAAGAATGAATTGGAAAAAGAACCAGCTAACCATATAAAGATGTGAGATCTATTAAAACAAAGAGGCCAATTTAGTTAATGGTTGCACTAAATCAAAACAATTATCTAAGGCACTAGCACAGTTGTGAAGCTAATTTTCTACCTTCTCTAACTGTGACTTAACATGACCTTTTAAATAGATTTTCTGATTTGGTTGCTTTTATAGTTAACTCCTCTTTAAATGGCTGAATTCTTCTCCTGTCTTGTTTGTTTTAATCTAGGACACCTTTCTGGGCCTTACACTGTGTTTTTAATTGTTTTCTTTAAAAAATATAAATCTGTAATCTCATTTGATTTGGAGAACAAGTGAACAAAATATTTTAACACTATAACCTCAATGTATTTGAACGCAGCATCTTCGAAATATAGAAAAAACACTTTAACCTCTCAGCTACACAATCTTTAGTTATTATTTGTGGTAATTTAGAGCTTATTTTGGCCACAGAAAGCTCCCCTATTTTTTCCATTTGTGGAAATACTTTTTCAAGTTAAAAAATCCTGAGGTATAGTGAATAAGATTCAGACAAAGTATAGTTTCCAGTTCATGCTTCCAGTTCATGCCAAGACACACACATACACTTATCTGATTTAATGAAAATTAGATTAATAATTTACTACATTTTGGGAACAGGAATTGTCGTGTTTGGTTTGCTTTTTAATTTCTTCATAAATTTAGAAGGCGCTACAAAATAAAGGATTTGTATGTGATTAAAGTAGATCTGCACAAATACAAAGTTGTAAGATTTTGGCATTGTCAAGGTAATACCTCATATTCTTCCTTTTAAGGCACTGGTTCATCAAAGCATATAAGCAACTACTTAAAGTTTAAGTGTGTGCTTTGCTGAATTGGGGCTCTAGTTTGAAAAAAGTTTAGTGATCTTTTTTCTAATTTGGCTCTGAGTTGCTTCTGCAAGACTCAATATGGAAATGTGTTGAAGGAGCAATATATGCAATAACTTGTCTAGTTAATATGTCCGTTAACTTGATCACAAGAGAGAAAATCTATTTCAATGATTAACTCTGTAGGATTGTCTGACAAGTATTAAAAGGTAATGTATTAAACACTTGAAGGTTGCTACTGGGACACACGCCTAAAAGGATAACTATCCCCATAATTTATTATTACTTTAATATGTTGCATATAGAAGAAAGCACTAGTGCTTTAATTACTATTCCACTATTGAGAGATGACAGCAAGACCGTACAAACTTCTGTACATAGTCTGACAGCAAGATTTTTCTACCTTTTTGTTCTGAATCTATTAACTACATTGGCCTTTTAACACACTGAACAAACACAGTATAAGTGTTAAAGAGTAATAATTTGCAGTCTGTAATTTAGTGACTGATGTAAAATCAGATCATTTTTAGAGAAAGCAGCTGTTTCTCTTGTCACTTCCAATTACTCTTTCCTTGGAAGAGCAATTTGAAAACTTAAGCAAATGTGAAGAATTCTGTTTGTCAGTTGCTCCTGCTCTAAACTCTCTTCGATTTTCCTGTGGCAGTGTCATTAAGGTGAAAGACAAATCCAGACACAAGTGTAAAAAAATGCAATGAACAAATTGGCTTGGTTACCTGGGCCTTTCTTTGAAGAGGCGCAGGGTTTTGATTGGTAGGGCAAGTTATTTTGTATGTGCAGTTAACATTGATTAGGTTGTAAGCATGTTGAAGTGGTTACTATTCTGTACATGCCTATAAGCCGTCTGGTAGGTGCAGTCTGTAAATGGAAATAAAATAATTTTAAAAACTAGGGGTAGGATTTTGAGAAGTGCTTTGCATTGCCTTAACTCTTCTCCCACTGAAGTCAATAGGAGATAGACGTACTTTTGAAACTCCCAGCCTGTGTGTCTGTTACTTGAGTCTTCGTTTTTTTGATCACCAAATTTCTGCTTTCTGTGGGATGAGATGAGAGTAGTTTGTGATTGAAAATGGTGAAAGAATGTTAAATCAGATCTTCTATGTTTGTTCCATTTTAGCGTCCTTTGTCTCTTGGGGCAGATATTTGTATGTATTCAGCAACCAAATACATGAATGGTAAGCGTCTGAATATTACATAGCTCAAATGTTCTCTTGGTTTTGTCTAAAACCAATAATAATTGCCATAAAATATCAGTTTCTATTGCTGCTTCATGCGTTGTTCTCCGTATCTGTCTAAAGAGCCCTCAGAAATCCTTGCTCTGAGGAAACGTATAAATGGATGGTATTTCTACCCAGTTCCTGACCACAGCATACACACAACAGATATTGCCCAACTGATTTGCCTTTATTTAATTTAAAATAACAAATCCCTAAAACAGGACTGTACTTTCAAACCTAAGCTCTTTCTTGAGCAAGTTGACTAGCATTTCTCCCTCCAGGACCTTCTGCCTTTCTCTCTTGTCTGTGTTATGGAGAGCCATTGGTTGTAATGACCCTCAACTGTTTGAAAAGCACCTTATGTCCACGTGCAAAAATGCTGAGTGGAAGGCCACAAGTGACTGGCGTTACCTCCTGAAATGTGTAGGGGTAAATAGTCAGTGGAAGCTTAATAAACTGGGTGCTACTTTAGGTGGGAAACACTTTCACAATAGATGGTGTGAACTCTGACTGTCTTCCTTGATAGCTCTTAGCTCTGACAGCTCCCTCAGCCAGTGTATCCCTTTAGATCATGGATATCCCCTTCTAAATCCCCACCCCTCATTTACAAATCCTCTTCTCCCGCTCTGCAGGTCCTCACCTGGATCGCCAGCTATGCATCACTGACCCACACACCCACTATGTCCCCCAACAGTGTCCCCCTACCCTCACTCTGGCTGGGCCACTCCCCAGCCAGCAACTGCAGGCAGCTCAGTAAAGTGAGTGCATCAGTCAGTGATTCTCAGATGGATTGCTGGCTGGGGCTGCAGTAGCTGATACAAAGCTGGTAGACAACCCCTCAGCTACCAGGGGGCATTACTGGATGTGGGAGATGGTTTGTTTCACTGAGGAGAGTGTACTCTGGCAATTTCAAGGGCTTCTCTGAGATAAAGAGATCAATCAGTAGTACAACAAAGAGTCCTTTATATTCCTGAATGGAGCTAATGATCTGATTTCCAGGATGAGTCAGAAGAATAGCTCTGTACTTCCTTACAAGACCCGACAGACTGTCACTCAAGTACATACAGGGTTACAACACTCTATAAACCAAGGGTGGGCAATCTTTTTGGCCTGAGGGCCACGTCGGGGTTCCGAAACTGTATGGAGTACTGGGTAGGAAAGGCTGTGTATGTCAGTGCATAGATGATGGCAGCAGTGAGGAGAAATATCTGATGTCTTAAACTGCAAAAACAGAAAAGGAAGTATGTAGTAGCAGGACCAAGAAAACAACCCCCCAACCCTTTATATATTGAAAGCGTCCTGACTACAAACAAGTTAACAATTTAATGCTCTTCTTTTATCTTCAGGGCACAGTGACGTTGTAATGGGATTGGTTTCAGTAAATTGTGATGATCTCTATGAAAGGCTCAAATTCTTACAAAATGGTAAGTAGCCAACACAGGAAATTCTTTAAAACTTATTGGATCTAGGTATGCCTGTACACAACAGAAAGCATGTGGTATATTTACATCTGAAATCCATGTATCTAGGCTACAAATATGACCCAAGAGTTTAAATGGGATGGACTGTGGCCTAGTGTCCATAGCACTGGATTGGCACTCAGGAGATCTGGGTTCTATTCCTGTCTCTGCCACCTAGGGTGACCAGAGAGCAAATGTGAAAAATCGGGACAGGGATGGAGGGTAATAGGAGTCTATATAAGAAAAAGACCCAAAAATCGGGACATCTGATCACCCTACTGCCAGCAGCCTCCTAGGTAGACTTGAACAAGTCATGTTGCTGCTCTGTGCCTCAGTTTCCCAAGCAGTAAAATGGGGATAAATAATACTGACCTTCGTAAAGTGCTTTGAAATCTGCTGATGAAAAGCACTGTTTAATATGTTTATCACTATTTGCACTGCTTATACATGGAAAGATTTTCTTCTTATTATTTTCAAGTGTCAGAACAGAAAAACAGGAAACAAAGAAAGTGGTTAATTGTCCTTTTAATTATGAGGGCCTGGGTGGCCCAGGGGATTAGTAAAGGCTTTTATACAAGCCTCTGTTCCTTAGACCATGGGTGAGATCCTCCATTGAAATCAATGACAAAATTTCCATTGAGTTCAATGGGGCCAGGACTTCACCTCATGTGTTTAAATTCATCGCAAGTCGTCTATTGGCCTATGTGAAATGAGTTGATAGTGTCAGTTTATTGCCAGGTGTCACAGCTCAGGGCAATTGCACCTGTATTCCCCCTCTGTGATCCAGCAAGGGCACCTACCCTCAGGCTTCCAACTCCCTAGCCATTGCCTTTCTTGTGTAGACCCCCATGTCTCACCCACTTCTTACTGGGGTATTTCCAGGCTGCACTGTTTCCTGCCTTCACTGTGTTATCCCTAGCAGAGGCTGTCCTTGCCCACTTGCTTGCTTTCTCTACAGAGACTGATAAGAGTCATAAGTTATGACATAGCTCTTTCTGCGTAGCCTTTTTTATTTTTAAGGTAAAAGCACTACAGACAAAACATATTAAAACCAATAAAAACGCATGCTACTAAGCTTATCAGTGATCATCCCAACCTAATACGGGATGTTCAATACTCCACCCAAGGGGTTTCTTGTGGTTTCAATTTAATCACAGCTTCAGCTCAGAACAGACACCTAGTTTAATGGTGCCTCAGTAGGCCAAGTCTTTCCAATTCTTCCCTAAGGATTAGGGCCCCTGTCCATTTGCTAGATCAGAAAGAAGGCCTTGAGCCAATCTGAAAGCAGGCTATTTATCCAAAAATCCTTTCTTTGTCTGTTGGTCTCTTGTCTTTTGAACTAGTATATGTGCACCTTGCCAGGGGAGTGGCAACCCCCTCCGACTAGAAAAGGTACATGCAGTTCCATAACAACACACACACAATTACATATTTAATACAATGGACCCTAATAGTATTAACCCCAATTCAATAAGGTTTAGCTTACTTTAAAATTTATCTTAATTCCATAAGGTTTGTCCAGGATATTGTTAGTCTGTCACACAAAGGTGTTTGTGGTTTGTTTTTTTTTTTTTTTTTTTTTTTTTGACCCATCATAATTACCTTTTTAATGGGGACCAATTCAGCAGTGACCAAGGACTGAATATAGAAACGCCTTAAATGAGACTCGGATCCTGGAAAGACTTGCATACATGCTTAATTTTTAGGCTCTGTGAGTAGTCCCACTGACGTCAATGGGAGTACTCCGCATATAAAAATAGGCATTGTACAGTAACTCCTCACTTAAAGTCGTCCCGCTTAACGTTGTTTCGTTGTTACGTTGCTGATCAATTAGGGAACATAGTCATTTAAAGTTGTGCAATGCTCCATTCTTACGTTGTTTGGCTGTCTGCTTTCTCCACAGCTGGCAGCCTCCCTATGGCCCCCTCTCCCTCAGCGCCTCCTGCCCGCCGGCAGACTCTGCGGATCAGCGCCTTCCCCCTCCTCCCCCGCCTCCTGCCCGCGGCAATCAGCTGGCTTGTGGCATTTTGGAGGCAGGAGGGAGGGGGGAGGAGCGAGGACTCGGCGCGCAGGCTCCCCCTCCCTCCCCTGCCTCCCGAACGCGGCAAGCCAGCTGATTGCCCCGGGCAGAAGGGAGGGGGGAGGAGCGAGGACTCGGCGCGTAGGCTCCCCCTGCCTCCCAAATGCAACAAGCCAGCTGATTGCCCCGGGCAGAAGGGAGGGGGGAGAAGCGAGGACTCGGCATGCCTCCCCCCTCCCTCCCCTACACGGCAATCAGCTGGCTTGCGGCGTTTAGAAGGGGGGGGAGGAGCCAGGATGCAGCGAGTGAAGTAAAGGGGGAGGAGGTGTGGGGGAGAAGAGGCGGGTCAAGGGTGGGGCCTTGAGGGAAGGAGTGGAATGGGCGGGCTGAAGGTGCTTGCAGAGTAGGGGAAGCTGCTCTGGAACCTACCCCACCCCCATTTACATTAATTCTTATGGGGAAATTGGATTCGCTTAATATTGTTTCACTTAAAGTTACATTTTTCAGGAACATAACCACAACGTTAAGTGAGGAGTTACTGTATGTCCTTTGCAGGATCAGGGTCCTAGATAGCAATCTTTGTCAGGCAGGAACTATCTCTTACTGTATGTTTGTACAGTTCCAACAGAATTGAACCTCTAGCCCCACTGTGCTACAAACCATTAATAACTGCCCTCATCTGTTGGAGGTAGTCCTTTCAGATCAGGATTGAAGCAGTATCTGTTCTGTGGATAAACAGAGGACTTTTGGCTGCAGGGCTGTCAGGACAGTACCTTTCTAAACTTATTTAAATATTTGTTTTCTCCCCCTTAATACCCTGCAAAATATCTCCTTACATGTATATAAGGAGGCATATAATTAATAAACTATTTTATGTAGCTGGTATCCATTTTTTTATTTGTTTTCCTTTAGACCATATCACTCAGCGCGCACACGTGATTTTTGTATGATAAACTGGGAATCTTTTATGTTTTGGCAGCTGCATTTTTTCTGTCATCTGTGTATTTTTACAAATTCATTTTTATCCATTGAATAAAGAACACATGAGGCAGGGCGAATACAAAGTAAATCTAAAAGTAATCTGAGGGAGTGCCGTATGTCTGATAAGATTCATCCCTGAGTCTTCAGTGTGTTAGCTCCTGCCTGATTCTCATATATTTTGGGGGGAGGGGAGGAGGAAATACAAACACATGTATTTTTCTCTCTCTCCCTTATCTTGTTTTAAAGTTAGAATATTTTTAGTGTGGTCTCAAAGTACTATGTTTGAGTTTCCAGATATAGGGCCAAATTACACCCTGGTATAAACAGGCAAAGTTCCCATAGAAATAAATGGGAATTGCATCTGTTAACATCAGGGATCAGTTTGGAAAGTAAGACCTTATTCAATAAGGCAGAAGAGGTTTTTTATATATTTGTAATATTGTGCTATTTTATAGCCCTTGGAGCAGTTCCATCTCCTTTTGACTGTTACCTTTGCAATCGGGGTTTAAAGACACTGCAGATCCGGATGAAGCAGCATTTCTACAATGCACTGGCTGTTGCTCAGTACCTTGAATCAAATCCCCGGGTAGAAAAAGTCATTTATCCTGGTAAGTTGCAGGATTTCTGAAGAGAAGATATTTTGGTTCTGTCTCTGTTTGGTATAGGATGCTGCATTCCTAGGTGTTGCTGATACATCCATTGAATTTGATTTGTAAGTTTTACTCCGGCATAGGCATTTATCTTGCAGTTGATTCTATGCTGCTTAACACTTGAAGGTTGCTTTTTATGTGCCTTAGTGTGGCTTGCTCTTCTCTGATGCAATTTTAACAGACTGTATAAGCTGTTTTATTCAGAATGTGATTAATTTCAGGACTGCCCTCGCATCCTCAGCATGAGCTAATGAAGCGTCAGGCCACTGGCTGTCCTGGGATGGTCACCTTTTACATTAAAGGAAATCTTGAACATTCTGAAATCTTTCTCAAGAATTTAAAGGTAATTTCCCTTCAAATGAATGTAAACTAATTCTGTAAGAGAACCTGATTGTGACTCTGTTAGGATTCTGAGTGAAAGAGGAAGTGGTTATCTTCAAAGCAAGGACTGTCTTCCTATGTGTTTGGGAAGCTTCTAATCTATTTGGGTAGTACCACAATCTAAATAATGGATAATTATGAGATGGCACAGTAATGTGAAGGAAGAAAAGGAAGTATCCGCCCATTTGAAGTGTTTACAATCATAGCTGGGGCTTATATAGCTAGTTTAAACCATGTGTTGCTACTAAAAGTACACCTCTACCCCGATATAACGTGACCCGATAAAACACAAATTTGGATATAACACGGTAAAGCAGCGCTCCGGGGGGGGAGGAAGGGGGGCTGCGCACTCTGGTGGATCAAAGCAAGTTCGATATAACGCGGTAAGATCTTTTGGCTCCCGAGGACAGCGTTCTATCGGGGTAGAGGTGTATTTGCATATCTTCTGACAACTGTTAATGCAATTTGAAAGCAGAAAAGATGTTTCTGATGTAACACTGCTAGAACATTTTAAAATACTTGACAATAGAAAATGCCTTTTGAGACTTCTTCATGATCCATATTCCAAAAGGAAGGGCTGCCTCTTTCTGGCAGATCACCTGACAGGTGTTCTCGTAACATGAGCTTTAAAGCATTGTTTAGCTCCCTTTTTCTTAAACTTCATCATTGAACTTGTTCATGGCTATTGTTCTCTGGACACATTTTGGTAAATTTTTTAAAACAGAACCAAGTAGTAGCTATATTGACAGTCAAATTAAGGATTTCTCTTCCTCCCATACCATCCCATCACCACTAGCCCTCACTCCCCAAATAAAATCACAACTGAAATTTCACATAATCAAATAACATCCCACAAACAAAGGTTTGAGTACAAAAATGAGTCTTTCATCCTTCTCTGGAAGGTCAGCCATCTCTGCCTCTGTTTGTTTAATAGGGAGAAGCAAATTCCAGAATCAAGGATTCACCTCCCTCTGAGTGTTTTCACCTCCAGCCCCTCAGTGTCCTGGCTAATCAATTGTTGGGCTGATGCTTAAGGAAAGAGGTGTTTTCTAAAATAGACTGTCTGGGTATACAAGGAGTGGATTACTCCTGAATGCAGAAGAGGCAAGAGGAACAATAGCAGGCATGCTGATCCTGACAGCAGCTGCTGCATCCTCAGCAGACACACATCTAGTGTATATTTCTGAATGCAGCAGAGTATGTAGAGAGCATTTTGTCATCTAGTGCGAGAACATATCCATGATTAAAGATCAGTGATTAGTGAAGACCTTTAATGGGTGGTGGGCATTTCTCAAAGGATCAGCAATTGAATTCTGTTAAGTTTGGATTCTCCTCCAAATTTCTGGGTTTGCAACATCATATGAGTAATCTTGTGAGAAAAGAATCTCGTGACCTTTCTGCTTCTAGTAAGGCTGCAAACACAAGTAAAATACCTCTGAAACAGTGTTCCATCAGTTCTGCCCTTGATTGGGCCCAGAAAGTGTAGGGGTGAATGAAACCTGAAGAATTAATAGTTAGGACAGGAGAGGGATATGGTAAAGAGAGAGGAAGGAGTAATTTCAATTTAAAGTTTTTTAGTTCTGCTCTTATTTTTTTTCAGAGAGATTCACCCCATCCCCACTCTGACTATACACAAAGCTCAGGGGTGCACCCTGGTTAGCCCTGACAAAAATTTCTTCCTTGAGTTGCTTACTTTCTCTTCCTTCTCTTCTTTAGTCAAGTTAAGGCTGATGTTTTCAGACCCAGTAACATTTTGCTAGTAAACTACATACCAATTGTTTTTTCTTATTGCATCCAGTATTTTTTCCATGGTATGAAAGTTTTTTGTGGTTTTCTAGTTCAGCAAATTCTACTTCAAAATTAAGTAAATTATAAGACATAATTGCCTTTTCCTCTACAATGTAGCTATTTTAAATCCTCTTGCCTTTGTTTCAAATAAATAAACAAGCAGTTTTTCAAAGTGAACTTTTGTATTTCCTGCTATAGCTTTTCGCGCTGGCTGAGAGTCTGGGAGGATATGAAAGCCTAGCAGAACATCCGTAAGTCAGTCTTCCAGTAGAGATTTAAGATGAAACAATCCTTAAATTGCACATACTGTGGAAGAAAAGCTTCCATTTGGATTTTGTGGTCATCTTGAAACTGTGTAGTGTTTAAAATTGGAATGTTTCACTTTGTGGCCAAGCACCATAGAGCTAATTTTTATATCATGTGAGCATTTTATGGCTGGTCAAGAAATGAGCAGTGATGTGATCTTATTTTAGAAATTTAAACAATGGAAGACTCTTGCTTTGAATGGTACAGTATGCTGTCACCAAGACCTTCCCATGATTTCTTTACCTCCACTCCAGTCCCATAAAATGCCAGGTAAAAGGGTCACAATAGCATAAAGTAGCCCTAAAAGCCATGGTTCTGGCTGATGGAGAATTCCCCTATTTTAGGCATTGTGGAGGATGGCCATAAGGCTGCCGTCTGAGCAGTGGTGCAAGTAGAAATCATTTCTTGCCGGTACTTCACTCATAGGAGGGACGCAAGGGCGGCGGGGGGGATGAACGACATGACCTCCCCACATGGCCCTCCATGTGTTAAACAAATGCAGTTGTAAAATGATGCTTTAGGCCCCTGGTGCCACCTACATGTACTTCCAGGTGTCATTGAGGATCCAGTAGCACCCCAAATTGAAAACTTTTTAAATGAAAGAAGGATAATCGCCCCACTTTCCTTTAACACACTATCAGTGCCTCCCTTATGTCCAAACTAAGCTTCTGCCAGCTTGCCTTTATCTAAGTATTGCTCTCCGCCAGGCACTAAGAAAGCAAAGATGCTGCGCCATCTGGGTTTGATGGAAAAGAGGCATAGAACTGTTTGTGCCATGTGCATCTTGATAGAACTACAGCCCAAATTGTTTTATTATTTTCCTCAGCATGACATACAGGAGGGGCAATCAAAATCAGCCTGGCAGAACATGCATGAGAAATATCTCTGGACAGATAAGCAATTGATCAAAATCACATTCTCTGATCTCTTGGGGCCAAATCCTGTTCCGTTGAAATCAAAAGGCTATTGAGTTCAATGGGAACAGGCTTTGACATTTGGAGAGGAAAGAACAAAACCACTCAAGCAAGAGCTATGTTGCTTATACCACAGGTATCAAAGGCTGCTGACTCATGTGAGAAAGTCAGCAGACATCTGATCTTTATCCATTGCAAGGCAAGGGAGAAATCAGCAATCAATGAGGCTAGAACAGTCTCTGTACCATATCCAACTCATAAGTCCACCTGCAAAGGATCAAGGAATATCAAGGCTCCAGATTACCTTGAAGTCCCCTCAGTCCCTTGGTTAGAACGCTCCCATTAGGATATGTTCATTGTCCAGAGGCTGGAGCAGGAAAGAAGCAAAATGGAGATGTTTCCAGGGCCTTTTAGCTTCTGCCAAGTGAAGGGAAATCTATTCTCACTGTGAAAGATGGTATGTGGAGTCACATGGGCAAGTTACATGTCCATCACGCCAACCCATATTGTAGTTAGAATGTTCACAGGAAAAATCCAGTAAGTGTAGACAGGCGTATTCCAGGGTTCATAGTGAGCTAAGTGTTCCTTAATGAGCCGTTCAATTTGACCTGTCCCTTCATGTGCTGGCTAAATAACTTGTGGGCATTACCACAGGAGCAAACATGTAGTAAACATAGCTAATATTCATAACTTCAGATACCAAGATGAATATACATGCATAGAAATAGCATAATCATAAGTACCAGCTATTTCATGTACATGACTACATGAGATTCTGAAAAATCACATCACATACCTGAGACCCTCTGTGCCAGCACCATGCCCCACTGGACTTTTGTTCTCTGTTATGTAACAACAGAGATGGAGCCAGTGATATGACTGTTTAGCCTAAAAGGGCAAGGTTAATTTTTAGCTGTTCAGCTGTGAATGAGCCTTTGAGCCTAGTCAGTGACGGCATACTGGCACACATTCAGGTTAATGGGCTTCAGTGTTCCTTTGCAGTTACCAGGTTTATGGACATTAAAAAGTTATGTGATGAGGTGGTTTAAAGCATAACACAGGTTTTTAGGTTTGCAAATTTTTTTATTTATTGCTCGTCATATCCTCCCACATTATCCTCTCCATCCTTTGCTCATGAGGTTATGTATGTGTCTTGTAGCACTCTTCTGAAACCCTGTTGGAAGGATTTTTTTTTTTTTTTTTTAAGTAAGTGTGGACTGATTCTTTTCTCTTAGAAGGCATTTAATTTTTTCAGGTACACACTGATTAACACAGAAAACAATTGGGGCTGTTAATTTTCTATGGAATTTGAAGAAAGTTTAAGTTCAACTATATTTTCCAGTGCAGTGCTGAAATGGGTGTTTTGTATATATGAACATGCTTAACTCCTCACTTCCCCCCCCCCCCAAATAGGTAGTATTCAGTCTGTTTATATGGGATTTGGGTGAGGAGCCATTTCAGCATATGTATGATTTATTAAAAGACAAATTTTAAGTAGAATGTATCCTAAACTGCATTATGCTATTGTACCCAAACGTATTTCAAATGGGGGGGATTCAACTTCCTTTATAGGAACGGACTCCTGAAACTCTTGCCACAAAAATGGTCCATAGTTATGCAAATAGTCCCATTGTCTTCAATGGGACTGATCAAATGATTAAGGATTTACAGGATTAGGTTCCAAGTTTGTAAATTGTTCTGAATGAAAGTGACCATGCCTGAGCTGTCAGATCAGAAGGAGCTTCATTCGAATAAAGGTGGGCAGATGTGTGATAAGTCTTAGCACCATTGCTAAGATGAGGAACATATTTTCAGCAAAGTTCTTGGCAGATTCCTGAGGCAGCTGGTTTAAGGCCATCAGTGTCCAGCATTATAATCTTCTCTTATAGTTCTCTCACCCACAAAGCTGGAAAATGAGGCCCTTGGTTTTTTTTATTTTGCTGCTCCAGTTCCAGTTAACAAAATGCACGTTAGACTCATTTGGCTGCAAAGCAGAATTCTATGTTTAATTACACTGGGACAACACCACTGATTCCTGTCAGGCTGCAGAACTGGGCTGACATCAGACTCTAAACATCCTCTGGTCAGTGCAAGCAGAGGCATTCCTCTAATGATTTGGACTTGATATGATACAGTATGAACGTCATGGATAATTCAGACCAATGGGGAGAAAAAGAACCAAAAACACTTTTATTTAAATACCTTCCATCCCCCCTCCTGAGGACTCATGACCAACATAAAACAGCACTACATATGCTAATAAACTTAAACAAAGCCTTTGTTTAAGTTTGTTAGCATATGGATTGTGCTGTTAAAGCCCTAAGAATGAATGCCCTCCCTAGCCCAAAAGGAGCAGAGTGCAGCCTTGCACCCTCCCCCACCCCGCCACTGCAACCTACTAGAAATCTCTTGCAGGTACAGGGTACTGGAGGGTACTGCCCTACTTGCACTCCTACTTCTAAGCATCCCCTCCTAAGTCCTGCTGTAGGTGGCAGGGTGGGGCATGGAGCAGGAGGGGAGTGTCACAGTTCAGAGCAAGCTTTATGTTTGTCCCCTTTTCTGGACTCTTTAGTTCACCCCCTCCATATCTTAGGTCTCAAGTCTTTAACCTCCTTGTGGTGGAATTCCCTGATTCTTCCACTCTCAGACTGGGTGCTAGGCTACAGTGCCCTAGATACCAAACATGACTGATCAGTAGATCCAACTGGGTTTTGGCTACCTGCTGTTCTTCCCTTCATGAGATGTGATCAGTGGTGAATATAGTGACCCCACACAGCCTCCATAAAACAAAGTATTATTTAATCTTAACAGTAGGAATGCAGCATAGGATATGAGAGAGACTGTTCGTTTTAAAAAGTCATCTATGTGCATATCTATCTTACCTAAAGGTTTAGATAGCCCTGTCTTACCCTGACCTCTGGAGCCCAGGGGTCAATTAGCTCCCCAATAATGTCTGGGTCCTCCTCCCCCTTAACTGTCAAATCCCTTCAAAGGAGTATCTATGTGTTTAAACACTTTTGAGATTGCTTGACCCCTTCCCTCTCCAAGGGGCTGAGTCCCTCCCGCTGGAACTGGTCTGGCAGGCCCAGCAAGTGGCGGGCTGAGCCAGGGCTTGAAAGCAAACTGCTCTGCATTGTCTTTAAAGTATTTGCAGAAAGATGTGACGATCAAGAACCACGCCTCCCCTTTCTGGATACATTGCCTGACAAAACTATGATTCACAATATCTGCATACAGCAGATAACACCATCAGTTCAAAATACCACATACATGAACTACAAGGCATAATGAGCTGCAGTGCACAGCACTGTGGAGATTCTGGGTGGCGCTGTGACCCCCCCAAGGCAGTCCTGGAAAGCTGGTGTAACTTACACAGGCCTCAAGGGCTTGGGAGGGCACAAAGTCTCACCTTTGTCTCCCCTAGAGCAACTGGGCTGCAAGTTCTGTGCTGTGCCTCTTAGAATCTCACCCAGAGCGTATTTAATCTTTGCCTCTCTTATCCTTAACTATAGAAACTAGCAGGATTAGTAAAATGCAAGTGAAGCAAAAGCAGATAAAATTCGTCCCTCAAAAATACTATATTGTGTCATTGGCTTAAGGTGAGGTTATGTTAGTAGCATTTAGATCAACTGAAACTGAAGAACTACCCCATCAGTCACTGTAAATCAAGGAATATCTTTCAGTTTCTTCCACAGTATAATCATTGGCTTTTTTGCAGCACAGTATTGTTCTTTGGCCTGCCTTCTTCAAAGTGGGAGTCTCAGCCACGAATGAAAGTATGGACAACGGAGTCACTAAATCTACACTACGTACAGTAAAACCTCAGGGTTACAGACACCTTGGGAATGGAAGTTGTCCATAACTCTGAAATGTTTGTAATTCTGAACAAAGTGTAGTTTAGGCTCCAGCAGCTGACAGTCCAGGCCATGCTCCAGTAGGATCTGAGCTCCCTCCTCAGGGCTAGCAGCTTCCTTGCAAGCTTGTCCCCCTTCGGTCTGGAGGTGGGGAGGTAAAAACAGTACATCCCCCACCTTCTGGCCAGAGGAGAGGAGGTGAAAGCAGCACAGACCCTGGCACTGCTCCTGCTCTGCTGGCTCTGGCAGTCTTGGGCTGGCAGCCCCAGTATCTTCACTTCCTAGCTGTAAGTGTGTGGGGACAGACAGCCCAGATGTACCTACCTTTAAGATGCAATACAGGCACAGTACTTGGTTGGATTTTTTTGGGGGGGTGGGCCTCTGCTGCTGCCTGATTGGTTACTTCCAGTTTCACATGGTGTCCAGTTGACAGGTTAGTGCATAACGCTGGTGTTCTTTTCTTTAAGGTTCTACTGTACTTATTCTTCAGTTTTGCTAGTGTAAAAGAAGTCTGCTATTCTAACTCCTTACACAAGAGGGCATACTTGGCACACAAAACTACATGCACCTGTTTTTCATACCCAGTAAACTTTGTAAAAACAAAGAGGAGTCCTTGTGGCATCTTAGAGACTAACATTTATTTGGGCATAAGCTTTCGGGGGCTAAAACCCACTTCATCAGATGCATGGAGTGAAAAATACAGTAAGCAGTGTGTATCTCTCTCTCTCTCTAATCTCCACCCACCCACCCACAGCTTATGCCCAAATAAATGTGTTTGTCTCTAAGGTGCCACAAGGACTCCTCTTTGTTTTTGCTCATACAGACTAACTCGGCTACCACTCTGAAACCAGTAAACTTTGTGTATTTTAACATAGGGTTTGAAACAATACTTCATTACCTGACACTAGATCATTCTGGGCTTATCTGAAGACTTTGAAGATAAAATGGTTGACTCTTTCAAGATCTGTGCTTCTCTGCTAATACCATAGCCACTGCAGCCAGTAGTGAAAATGAATTTAATATTGTCTGTCAGCTTGGGGTGAGGAGAATACAAAGGAAAAATTGGCCATTCTCTGCATGATGTGTATACCATTGTCTTCTTCTGCCCACTGAAATCAAATGGGAGATATCACTCTGTAAATAAGGGCAGTATTGAGTCTAATACCTATAAAGCTCTATCAGCTCTTACCTTAAGGTAGAAAATTCATAAGGATTTCTTCTATGTGGCCCACTTTTGAATGTCTAGGAATGTTTGTTTAATTCACTTCCCTTCTCAACTCCTTTTCTGGTTTACATGGGATCCGAGTTACCCACAATTCTTTACCACTCCTCCTGGTCGATGGCACAAGTTTGTAGGCCTTGGAGTTCCAATCCTTTTTCCTCTTTAAACCTCTTGACAGTTGTGACCAGGATTCCCGGGGAGCCACACTGAGGTTATTCAATTAGGGCAGATAATTCTCAAAGCTGGTGGATATTCCAATACTTAGATTTACCAAGCCTGCCCAAAACAACTTCTGTAATACCATACTGGTTACCCGGAAGCCAAAACACAGTTCCCTTATAGCAACCCAGCCTTGGGCTTCTACCAAGACACCCAAGTCAAATACGATGGGGATTAGTGAAAATCTTAATCATATAAGAAAGTTCTACCAATCCCAAGGGATCGGAAGCATTACCTCCCAGGTTAATGAATATTTCACATCTTACCCACATACACGCTTACAGCCAATTCTTACACTAAAGTGTTTTTTAAAGTGTATTGGTTAAAAGATCAGTATACATACAGACATAAGTGTAGTTGATTAGTTTCATAGTAGAGATAGTGAGCACTGTAGTTGCAAAGAGTTCTATCAGAATTAGTTCATAGGTTATAGTCCAATATTCATATCCAGGAAGGACCGGAGATCTCAGTCTTACAACTCAAGCTTCCCCAGCATAATGCATCAAGCAGATCAGAGATAAAAAGGATCAGGATCCAAGGTTGTTGTTTTTTTTTTAAATACAGTTCCAGGCCTTCTCCTGACAGCTCAGAATCCTTAGGCTAACAATAGGTAATTGAGACTCTGAAGTAGACCTATTTCCTAAGCATCACCAGTAATTAGCTACATGGATTAACATAAGGCAATTGCCCATTTTCCACCATTTGCAGGTGATTTGCTATATACTTCAAAGAGATCAATATAGTGATATTACTATATTTACAGTTCATGTAACTGTTAGGCTCTCATTTTCATCTCTGAATTAATAGATTACAGCATAGACAGGAACTGTTTGGTTACATTAACCTCTAACAAAATATATAAATTAAAATAAATAAAAACACAAAAATACAAACATTATCTACCAATATGGCCCTAAATGTTGAATTTGGGTCATTATTCTGCAGGATTCTTAATCCTGTCTAGCAGTGTGTCACAACAGTCTTTCCATCATATCCTTGATTTTCCACCTCCTTTCTTGCTGTCCTGTTCCTGCCATTCTCTCTTTGCTGGTCATTCTTCTCCCATTCTTATCCATATGTCCAGCTCGCCTCAAACTTGTACTCTCCAGCTTGTCATTGAAAGGCCCAGGTTCATCTTCCTCCTAATTTCTTCCATGCTCACTCTATCTACCCTCCTCTAGCCTTCCATTCTCCCCAGTATATCATTTTCTACTACTTGTACCTTCTTTTCTTCCTTCTCTGTAAGATCCATAATTTCCAAATCATAGATCAGGCAGGGACAGACACATGCAGCATATACTTTTTCTTTCAGTTTGTAACTTAATTGCTGGTCTCAATACTCCTACTACGTTTTTCACTGCCACCCATGAACATTGGGTTCTTATTGTCAGTTCTCCAAATCTCTCTCCAGTGGCACTAAGTATACTTTCCAAGCATGGGCTCCAGGTTTGTATAATTTTTGGTGGTGCCCAGAATGGGTCCAAGCAGAGCCATCCCATCCATAGGACGGACCAAGGCAATCGCCCTGGGCCCCACCCTTTGGGGTGCCCCATGCTTCAGGGGGATGCAGGGTTCAGGGTGGCCAGGGAGGTTAGTGGGGGGCCTGGTGCCGGCAGCAGTGAGCGACCCGGCCCCAGCCTGCCCTGCCCCTCCGGCTCCTGGTGTCACTTGGGGGAGGGGGCGGAAGCCGGAAAGAGGTGGGGCGGAGGCTTGGGGAAAGGGGCAGGAAGAGGCGGGGCGGAGCAGGGATAGGAAGAGATGGGGCAAGGGTGGGGACTTGGGGGAAGGGTTGGAGTGGGGGTGGGGCAGGGGCACTTGCTGCTGCCGGCACCAGGCCCCCTGCAAACCACCCAGGCCACCCTGGACCCTGCTTCCCCATGAAGCACGGTGTCCCACAAAGTGCGAGGCCCGAGGCAGTTGCCCCGGTCCATCCTATGGACAGGACGGCTCTGAAGATATAAGCCCAAACATAGGGGACCATGGTGCCCATGCTCCACCAATAACTCGCCACCTATGTTTCCAAGTACACAAATTCTTTCTGATTCAGCTTCTCACCTGAAACTCACTCGGTTCTTCTACCTTCCTTACTTGCATAACCTCACTTTCTTTGAATTTACCTTCAAACCATGGTCTTTAAACACAGATATCCAGTTCCAGCAGGAAAACTTTTAGATATCACATGTTTAGACAAATACAATAAAAAGGTTGAAGGAAAGTAGTATAGGATGTTGCTTCCTTATCCAGATGAAAACTTGGAGCTAGAGTGTCCAAAGTACCCACTGTTTTTCTTTAGCAGTTATAGTCAGGCAATTTTGTACCAGATTCTCCGCTAGTACAAACGAGTGAAGTCAATGGAGCTATGTAGATTTCTTCTAGTTGATGCCCCATTGACTTAATTGGAGCTATGCTAGTTTTCACTATCTGAGGATCTGGGCTTTTGATGTGTAGATTAAGTAGAGGCGATCACAAAATTGCTGTTCAGAAAATAGTCACCACTCCTACAGAGCTGGCAGATAATTGTAAAGGCCAGCTAAATTAGTTATTTAATAAACCCCCTAATGGGTCTGCACAGAGACTATTTTTCTTTTCGTTCAGGGCCATTATGACTCACGCCTCAATTCCTGAAGAGGAGAGAGAGGTTCTTGGGATCAATGATACTTTGATTCGCCTGTCAATTGGTTTGGAGGATGCACAAGATATACTGGAAGATCTGGAGCAAGCTTTGAAAGCAGCAGTAAGTCATCTAATCCTTAGTGCATCTTGTTTAGAAAAATGATTTTTCTTTTGCATTTTACTTATTGCTTTTCAAACTAATGGTGTATGGTATCGTTCACCATTTATCTTAAATCAGTGGAATACATTTACTTTCAGATAACTAACACAAGTGCATTATCACAAACCTATCATCTTACTTAATATTTTTAATCTGACTACATTTTGGGTTTTTGAATTTCCACGATTAGTATCCTGTTTACATATCCTCTGCAACATCCTGTTTTTTTTTTTTTTTAAAAAAGGGATATCTATAGATTTCTAATGTGTATGATACACCTCTACCCAGTGATGAGCTGCCAAAATCTTAACAACCGGTTCCCTATAAAAAGGTTCTGATTTAAGGGATGTTCCACAGTATGTATTTTTTTGTACCTTTCTCCATAAGAAATGGCAATGCATTGAGTCATTATTGGGAGTCCTACTTAACAACAACAAACAACAAACCAAAAAACAAACAAACAAACAACACATTTTTACATGTTTATCGGGGATCGGTGAAGAACAGTTCAGTGATTGATACAAAGGAGAAAAATAATCTTATAATTTATGTTTTAAAATGGCCCACTGGACAAAACCCTACACGTTCACACAGAGTTTAGGTTTTGATGCAAGTTCTGCTAGAGCTTTTTTTGAGTAGGTGAAACAGGGCTGCAGCTGCAGGAGAGTGGAGGGACATTTCCCCCCCTCTTCTGAATAGTGTTGTTAGTTTATGAAATGGAAACACTAGTAATACAGGACTGTAGTATAGGATAACAGCCACCGGGCTAGAAAAAAGCAAGCGCCCTATTATTTTTTAGTAAAGCACAGACCACAGTTTTCCTCATAACATAGAATTGTTGGTCGTGAGTATTTTAAATAATTATAAAACATTGTCCCTATAATGGAAATTATATTTTTTTTTAAATTGCAAAAATATACAACTTTCTCCCAATGGCTGCCTACCTCCCAAGTAACCAGTGGACACTATTTAATTAGAAAGCTTGCAAGCAGATTTGGCTCTTTAGGCTGCCTCTCTGTCCCCTCTAGCTTTCTTACACCCGACAAAACGTTGGAGCATTGCTGAGCTCCTGCCGCTTGGCCCGCTGGCTCTGAGCGGGAGGAGCTCAGCCCCGGAGACAAACTCGTGGGGCCGGGGGCCCCTGCGAGGCCCAGGGCCTGGGGCAAATTGCCCCACTTGCCGCGCCCCTCCCCCCCCCCGGGTGGCCCTGGAGCTCACACACCTTGCCTGCGGCTGCTCAAAGCAGCAGGACTCGGGAGCTGAGCTGCCCAGCTGCTGGCGGCTCGGCACGCTGCGGCTCTGCGGAGGGGGACTCCTGGGAGCTCAGATGGGGGACAGGACGGTTCAGCGGGCCAGATGTGGCCCACGGACTGGAGTTGTTTGCCCACCCGCCCGCCCCTTAACAGCCGGTTCTACACCGGCGTCTAATTCGCAAGTGGGAACCGGCTCCAGCTCACCGCTGCCTCTACCCCGATATAACGCTGTCCTCAGGAGCCAAAAAAATCTTACCGCGTTAGAGGTGAAATCGCGTTATATCGAACTTGCTTTGATCTGCCGGAGCGCGCAGCCCCGCCCCCCCGGAGTTTCTTTACTGCGTTATATCCGAATTTGTGTTATATCGGGTCGCGTTATATCGGGGTAGAGGAATACTTAGAAGCTGGCAGTAATAGTAATGACTTTTGATTGGTAATGCTTAGGCATAGAAGTGGTTAACAAGTTTATGCACTTCTAATAAGGACAATGGCTGCTCCCTGTAAAGTAATCAAATGCAGGAAATAATTGGCTGGTAACTTCTCTTTTTGTTGAAGCTAGTGAATTTATTCTTAATTCTTGAAAATTAAGCTCTATGAAAAGTTCAAACCTTACATACCCCCAGAGGTGTCTCAAAGAAATTAATTTTTTTTGCGATATCATGCCATTTGCATTCCTTCAGCATAGGTCCCCTAAAACACACACAAGGAAAAAAAGGCAACAGCAATTGATAAATATTACTTGCTTCTTCTATGAACTTGCACAAAATAGTACTCTCCATTGCATGGTTGGCATGGTGAATGATGCCTGCTCTCAACAAATATAGTGTTCTCTGCAAGCTCTCCTAATAGAATGGACCAGGCATAACTGCCTAATCTAAAGCAGAGACACTTATCTTTGAGTTGGAGCACCAATCTGGAGGTGCATAATTAAAAAAATTGCAGCATGAAGTCCTAATATTGCATTTTAGTGTTCTCATCATGGTGCTAAGGCGGAACTCAGCTGGTCTGTTTTGTCACACATTGCTACAATACAAGAAAGGCACAGCTATGTTGGGATGGCATGCCCTGACACCTTTACTCTCCTATCCTATGAAGTAGCAAATCATAGAAATGTGGGGCTAGAAGGGACCTCAGAAGGTCATCTAGTCCAGCTCCCTGTGCTGAGGCGAGATGAAGTATATGTAGACCATCCCTGACAGATGTTTGTCTAGTCCAGTGTTTATCAAACTTTGTGCTGGTGACCCCATTTAGACTTTAAAAAAATCGTGACCCCCCCTACCTTCAGCCTTGCTCTGGGCTTCAGCCCTGGTGACCCCATCAAAACAGAGTCACGAACCACAGTTTGAGAACCTCTGGTCTAATCTATTCATAAAAACCTCCACTGACGAGGGTACCACAACCTCCCTTGGAAGCCTGTTCCAGTGCTTGACTATCCTGTAGTTTTCCCCTAATAGGTAACTTAAGTCTCCCTTGATGCAGATTAAGTCAATTACTACTTGTCCTACTTTCATTAAACATGGAAAACAATTGACCACCATCCTCTTTAAGATCCCTTATCATATTTGATGTCTGTTATCAGGTCTCCCTCAATCTTCTCAAGACTAAACATATCCAGCTTAACCTTTCCTCATAGGTCAGGTTTTCTAAACCTCGTAACAGTTTTTTGTTGCTGTCCTCTGGACTCTCTCTAGTTTGTTCACATATTTCTTAAAGTATGGCATCCAAAACTGAACACTACTCCGGCTGAGACCTCTCCAGTGTGGAATAGAGGGGGACAGTTCCATCCTGTGTCTTACATGCAGCACTTCCTATTAATACACCCCAGAATGACATTAGCCTTTTTTGCAACTGAATCACATTGCTGGCTCATTCAATTTGAGATCCACTATAGCTCCCAGATCTTTTTCTGCACTACTACTGCCTAGACAGTTATTCCCCATTTTGTAATTATGCATTTGATTTTTCCTTCCTAAGCATAGTGCTTTGCACTTGCCTTTATTGAATTTCTTCTTGTTCATTTCATACCAGTTGTCCAATTTGTCAAGCTGGTCTTGAATTCTAATCCTGTCCACCAGAGTGGTTGCAACCCTTCCCAGCTTGGTGTCACCTGCAGATTGTAAGAATGCTCTCCACTCTATTATCCAAGTCATTAATGAAAATGTTGACTAGTACAGGACCCAGGACTGACCCCTGCAGAACCCCACCAGAGAACCATTGGTAGTTACTCTTTGAGTATGGTCTTTCAACCAGTTAATAGTAATTTAATCTAAACCACATTCCCTAGTTTCTTTATGTGAGATTGTGTCAAAAATCCTTACTAAAAATCAAAATGTCACACCTACTGCTTCCCCCCATCCATTTGGCCAGCAACCCTGTCAATGAGGTTGGTTTGGCATGATTTGTTTTGCTGGCTATTACTTAAACCCTGTTATCTTCTAGATGCTTACAAATTGATTCATAATTTGTTCAAATATCTTTCCAGATTTCAAAGTTAGGGTGACTGTTTTATAATTGCCTTGCTCTTCTTTGTTCTTTTTAAAGATCGGTACAGTATTTGCCCTTGTCACGGGGCCAGTACACTCCATCCCCCTGGAGGTGGGGCAAGGGCAGGGTAGGCCCAGGGTTAAAGCTAATAGGACTCCCCTGGATTACAGGGAAGCTTGGCCCAACGACCAGAGTCAATAGGACTCCCTTGGGATGCATGGCCTAATGGCCAAAGTCAGAAGGGTTCCCCTTGGCTGTGGGGAAGCACAGCCTAATGGCCAGTCAGTGGGAGGTGGTTTGGTGGGCCACCCCCCAAAGGGGGCAGCCAGGTAGGGGGACCCAGGCCCTCCCTGGTCCAAGCTCAGGGCCCTGGTAGTGGTGAATGGGTTCACCACTAAAGTCAGTGGGGAATCCGTCCGTAACATGCTGACTGCTGCCAGGACACTGGCTCGTCCCTCCCTGGGCTACTTCCTACCGTGACTCTTGCAGTTGAAATCGTGGTGTCTTGGGAGTCTCTGGGCTCCTCAGGTGGAGTCTCCCTGGGGACTCGGCATCTCCTGTGATCTGGAATTCTGGCTACTCCTCAGCTGACGCAGGCAAGCTGTGTCCTTCCTCCCTGGCAGCCAGCTGAGACTGAGCTAGGCTGCTCCCTTTTATACTGTAGCAGCAGCAGTTGGAGAATGCCCAGTAGGGTCGGCGAGGTGTGGCTTTTGCTGCTAAGAACGCTGCTTTAACCCCTTCCTCTCCAGTGTGGGGCCAGTACACCCCATCACAGCCCTCCTCTGGGACCTCACCCATCATCCATGAGTTCTCAAAAATAATCGCTAATGATTCTGAGATTGCTTCAGTATCCTAGAGTGAATTTCATCAGGCTTTGACTATCTGAATACATCTAACATATCTAAATATTCTGTAACCAGTTCTTACCCTATTTTGGTTTGTGTTAATTTTTGTTAAGCATCTTTTTAGTAAAGACTGAAGCAAATAGGCATTATACACCTTTGCCTTCTTTGTGTCATCCATTATCTCCCCTTCCCCATGGACTTTTCCTTTTGTCTCTCTTGTTCTAATAAACAGGTCTGCAATACTAGAGAACACCACAATATAATTATATCATGCTTGTCTTCTGTTACTGCAGGTCCCAGAGCATATGGTTCGCAACTAGGAATCTTAAGACCTGAAATTGGAAGCTGATCACTACACAGCTAAGACACCCAGAGAAGATTAAATGAAAAGCCAAACCACTGATAAGTTTCTTCAGATTTGCCTTTAAAAGTGAAAGGCGAAAGAAGGGAGGAAGAAAGAAAGAAAGAAAAAAAAAAAAAACAACAACCCACCACAAACCACACCTAAACTTATAGTCAAAGTTTAGATATAAGCAGTCTGGTTTTTTTAAGCTTCGCTCTCCAGTGACTCAACATGGGTCATAAATATGTGCACAAAACTTATGCTTTCAGATGTGTCATCCTCTTGTTCCTCCTGCTCTTATGACTTGAAACGTCATTCTCCTTTCTGACAGAAGCTTGTTGATCTGAGAGCAGCTGTGATGTACACGCAAGAGTATTATGTCCAGATCTCAAATATTAAAAATTGGGGGGGGGTGTTATGCTGTACAATGGTGAGTGCATGCTGCAGTTATGTTGGCACAGGCTGTTTCTTTCATCATCCATACTGCAGAATTTAAAAAAATAATTAATTAATTAAATAAATCACATTTTATGTCTAACTGAAGATATATTTTGAATGGTGTAGGATCAAACTCAGACTCTTTGAATGAGAATATCAAATCTGGTTTGATTTTGTGCAACACTGAAAATTTTAAAGTCATACCTGATACTGTACTGTAATTTTCTGAAGATGATTTGACAGGTAAAAGCAGGATTTAGTCTGAAATTTTTAATGGAATGTGTTATACTTGAGAACAATTTCAGTCTTAACTCCTGTCTTACCAACATAGAATTTTTCTGTATGCTTGAATTTCTAAAGTGGATAATTTAATGAAAGGGGAAATTAAATGGGGCATTTGTCAGACAGACTACAATGATAATTTTAAAAACATTAAAATTTTCACAAAGCAAATGAAATCTAGACTTAGGTTTTTAAAAGAAAAACCTAATATTACACCACATACTAGTTCTCTGGCCTTTTAAAACCCTCTATTTTTTATCTAACATTAAGTTGTTTAGAATGTTCTGTATGAATTGTAAATGATACATATTAGTGAATAAAATGAATGAGACAAAGCTGGCGTTCTTTGATCAATGCAGCCTTTTTATAGAGGTAAGCTCTTATCAATATTTTACTATGTTGTCATTTTTATTGAAATCTCACACTTGAATCCTCACTATGGCTTGACAAGATGTTGGAAGTTAGGATGGAGAAGGGTTTATTCTGATGCATTTCCACATTGTGGGTAGGTTTCACTGACGTTAATATTTACCTTTTAGAAGGTAGCTAGAAACTTTTTTCAAATAAAAGCTTATATTTAGCAGAAAGCAGCAAAACTAGTTTAAGAAAAAGACTTTGAAATTGCCAGGTCTATTTACTGGCATCCTTTTTTATGCAGTATCTCTGCTAAATAATCCACTGAAGTAGCCTATAGCATCTCAAAAGGTCAAGAAAATACAAACATGGGTGGGTTATTCACAGAGTTCCCTTGAAGTGCTGGGGGAGTGAGGGAGGGGGAGAGAAGAGAAGAATGTTCTCTGGTGCTTGGGGAGCGATGAAAGAGAGGGGAGAAAATACTTCATACACACACTCCCCCCAAAAAACAAAAACAAACAAACAAACAAACAAACAAAAAAACATGAACTGTAGCTGATTTGTACAAAAAGTTCCTTCACTTCCATAAGGTAATGGTTGTGGAGTGTAGAGATGAAAATGGTTAAGTAATACTTGTATTTGTTTTTGGTTGACATCAACTCCAACAGATGAGAATTGCACCCTTTGGCAGCATAGCCGCAATTGCCAAGGAAAAAGCCAGTTTCCCTTCAGGTACTGGCACTCTAAAACGGATTCCCTGCATTTGCTATACCTTTTATACCATCTCTGAATCTCAAATACATTGCAAGCTGGATCACACGTTCATGAAGGAAACTTGCACATCAAAAGTGAAAATCATTACTTTCAGAGATAGAAAGTCCAGCCTGTCAGAGGCTGTGCAACATTCTGTACAGAAAGGCAGGAAACTTTGGTCTTACTAAGAGTTCTCTGAGGAAAAGACCACAACAATGAGGGCATGCTCATCCTTTGGCCATCATGCCCTTCAGCTGATCTACTAGAAATAGTACAAGCCATCTCTCCTTTCTGTTCACTCACCTTTCACTATTGAAGTTATTTTGAGGGTGCCTGTCCCGCCAGTAAAATTATTGTTTTGCTAATTTTACTCCTGAGGGCATTCTGTGCCAAAAAAATTTAAAATTCTGCAAATTGTCAAAAAAAAAAAAGTGGAGGCTCCAGCATGGCACTGGAGATCACTGTGTAGCTCCCCTATCCCAGGACATAGACTCAGTGGTGAGGCTGCATGCAACCCTGACACATCACAAGGACTGGGCCTGCCCCTCTGTGCTAGGTGCCTGCCTGCAAAGCAGGAGCCAAGTGTGGAGGGGCTTAGTGTGGTGGGAGAATCCAGGTGTGAGTTGAGAGGGTTCTGTGCGGGTCAATCTGGGTGCTGGCCGCTCAGGGGGGAATCCAGATGGACAGGGTCTTGGGGGGTTCTGGGTGCAACAATAATGTGACTCGGCAGGGGGGGTCCAGGTGAAAGTGGTTGGGGCTCAGCTGGGGGGGGGTCAGTGTGGGGGGCCCAGATGCTGGGGGAATGGGGCTCAATGGGGTTGGGATCCAGGTGCAGGTGGTTGGGGGGAGAGATCCAGGTGCAGGTAGCTTCTGGGGGTGGTCCAGGAGGAGTGGGGCTCATCTGGGGGGGCAGGGAGAGAATCAGGGTGCAGAAGGGTCTGGATGTATGGATGGGTGCATACCATCCATACATGCACTGTACAGGGATCTCTCTCCCTGCAGCTGAGGAGCAATGGGTGCAGGAAGCGTGGGGGGGGGCAGGGGAGGGAGAAAGAGAGGGTTGCAGAGCTTCCTACAACTGGGGGAGAAATCTGGGTGGGTCTGACCCAGCCCCAGATGCCGTGCAGGGGAAGAGGTAGTCCCATCCTCACCAGCCCAGCTGGGACTAACAGCTGAGCCTGGCGCAGGGTAGGAGCCACCAGCCATGTTTTTCCCAGTTCCGCCTGCACCCAACAGTGATTTACCTCTCTGCCGGCTGCCCTGGGCACCCGAAACATACTGCTGGAGAGAGTTGTATGACCGCTTTTGTGACTGCCCTGTCAGAAAGTCATTTTTCTGCAGGGAAATGAATCAGCAGGGGACATAAATTCTGTGCATGTGCAGTGACGCAGAATTCCCCCAGGAGTAACAGTCACACCTAAGATGTGCTAGATACTACAGATGTACAAGAGAAATCAGTCCTTTCTGCAAGAGCTCACAATCTTTAAAAACAGATACAAAAATTAGGGGGAAGGGAATCAACATACAAGCAACGCCTCTTGACACACCTTATTCAATTTTTTGTGTATTAAAACTATCCACAACTGCCCCTCTCCCTAGCCAGAAGTTTTACTTCCTATATATGTCCATAATTTCATAGGTTTTCACATCAGCAGTATGGCATCTAAGCACAGGATACGTAAATTAATGCAATAGCCATCATAGGCCCTATACATGGTACCATGAAATTCAGTGGGGTTCTGTGCAGGTCCAGCCATACAGAATGAATTGCCGGGGCTGGGTAATATACTCTGCCACTGCAAGGGAATAAATGGCATGTGAGGAGGTTTAGAAGCATAAGAGTGAAGCCATTACAGCCTAAATAAAGCCTGATTTGGTCTTCACCTGCTCCATGTTGAGCCACAAAAATGATTCAAGGGTCAGAGAAGATGCCTTACAGTGAGATACTTAAAGAGCTCAATCTGTTTACCTTATGAAAAAGAATATTGAGAGGTGTCTTGATTATACCTTCATAGGAAGAACTTGCTGGGTATGAACAGGCTCTTTAATCTAGTGGAGAAAGGCATAAGAACTAATGGTTGGAAGCTGAAGCCAGAGAAATTCAAATTGGAAATGAGGCAAAAAAGTGTCCACCAGTGAAGGTGATGAACTATTGGAAGAAACTATCAAGGGAAGCGATGGATTCTCAATTTTTTGATTTCTTCAGATCAAGACTGGATGCCTTTCTGGAAGAAATGTTTTAGTCAATCACAAATTATTGGGCTGCATACAGAAGTAACTGGGTGAAATGTAAGGGACTCTGATATACAGGAGGTCAATCTAGATGATTTAATGGTTCCTCCTAACCTTAAGCTCTATGAATCTCTATAGTATGCATCTTCATTCTTGATAGGCATATAGCACAGTGGTTTCCTGCATTCTGTTAGGTGACTGGGTTTAGGTCATGACTCCATGAGCAACTATAATACAAATTATTTCATTGTCTAAGTGTCTATCCAATCATGGAGCATGCCCCCATTGTACTAGGCAATATACAAACAGAACAAAAAGGCACCTTTTGCTCCAAGGAGCTTGCAATCTAATACCCCAATCCTACAAACTCTTACGCACGTGCTTAGTTTTACCATGAGTTGTTTCATTGATTTCAATGCAACTACTCGCAGTAGTTAAGTATGTGCACAAATGTTTGTAGGATTGGAGCCTAAGTATGTCTATATAAGAATACAAAGCATCCTGTTTTCCTCCATTCAAGTATCCCATTTAAAAAGAGCCTGGAAGAAAACACTTAACATGTTTTCACCTGAAGTGTGTCTAGAAATTCTGGAGACCTCTATCCTTCAGGCAAGTGGTTGTTGAAATCCAGCTTGTATAGGGAGGTACCTGAGGTGGTGTTAAGTCAGTGTACCTAGAGCACACCTGAGTCCCATCTACAACTGGAAAGAAGGCAAATTCTAAGATGCAGTTTGTGGGGGGATGGGGGGACAGGACAAAGAAGACAGTCAAGTTTGAAATAAGGGCTGTAGCAAAGTGAGTGTGTGAAATGTTTTGCAGCACACTGGGATGCAAAGAAGGCAAAGGCTTAAACGTTCTGCTGTTTGTTTGTTTAGCAATCAATGTGGGAACCTTTAAAATTAATGACTTGATTTATAAACTTCTAGTGCTGCAGTTAAGCAGTTCTGTGTTTAACAAGTCTTCATAATATAATAAAATACTTGTTTCTAGAATATACAGAATTGAAGTATGGGGAATGTGTATAAACAGTGAGAATTTATGCCAGGTGTTTTGTAGCAAAGCATC